AAGGGAATTGGACTCGTCTTTCGCGATCATCTGGTCGTACATCTGGAGGGCGTCTTCGAAGCGCTCTCTTAACTCCAGTTTCGCCATAATCTTCAGCCGTTTGACGCGACAACTGTTGGGGAACTTGCTGTCTAACTGTTGCAGACATTCTTTGATGAGTTCGTTGTCGTGGAGGTCGATGGCGGCGACGCACACCTGCTCCAAGACCTGCCACTCTTTGGCGAGTAATCAACAGATAAAGAGACCATTGCTTATGCACGGGATCTGTTGCTGCACTTACTCTCGTCTCCAAGACTACCGCCGAAGTCGATGTTCATCCAGATATCCCTCACTTGTTCCGAGTGTCGGGCGTTCTCTTCCCTCCACTTCTGGAGCAGTTCCTTGGCTTCTGTGGTAAGCAATCACATCCGACACACGTTTTAATCATTATTATTGGCATTCATTTGTAAAACTCTTGTAAAACAAACCAGTTTTGGATAACTTCAAGACATTATTGTCCTCCAATTCGGCAGACATTTTGGGACACAAGACGTGCAGACAATTGTCTTCAACGCAAACCACGGGTGAGTGTCTCAAGTGATTGTCAAACGATACGACAAAACAAACCAAAACTCAATTAATTAACGATTTTTTTTAAAAGCGATTCACTTTTGACGACAAAAATCAATACAATTTCACAATTATTTTCCTTTAAACTAATGTTCAAATATAGTGTAACATATATTTGGAGTTTAGAGTGATAGGGGGCTTAATTGTTATACAATTACTGTACTTACATTATTGTAGATGTCAATAAGGGGGCATAAAATGTGTTTATCTCGTAACAGATTATACTTATAAGCTTAGAATTTGCAGATTGATTGTGAGTTGTCTATTTTGTGGTCCATTCAAACTCACTATTACAATGATTTCAGTGCCCCTTATATTACTAAAATGACATTTTATAATTAACTAATTAAACACCAATCCTAATATATGCTCAGGTATATACAAATTAATTTAAATTTAACATAACCAAGGTTATTTTACTAAAACAATGTCCATTCTTACTGCTAATGATTACAATGTAAACACCGGTGGCTAATGGTTCACAACAAACGTGACACATATTAGGGGTGAAAACAAGTGATAATTATTTGATGAATTTGAAATTGAAATGTAAATCCATTTGTCATTCAATTGAACCCAAAATTAACGCCAATTTATGCCATGAATTAAACAACAAACGTGACACATATTAGGGGTGAAAACAAGTGATAATTATTTGATGAATTTGAAATTGAAATGTAAATCCATTTGTCATTCAATTGAACCCAAAATTAACGCCAATTTATGCCATGAATTAAGTGCTAAGACTCGGCATATGCTTAACGATCGGTCCATACATTGAGACAATAATCTGCGGACAACTCGTGGGACACACAGACTCTGCGATACAAGCGATCCATTGGTGACTCACACGAAGCCATCGCCTCCGAGAAGATAATCGACGCCGACATCAGTGGCCATGGAATCAGTTCGCGAGTCGTCGGACCAGTTGGTGAAGAGTGTCGAGTGCTATAACAGTCGACCGCTTGTCCTTCACGGCTATATCGGACCATTTGTGTCCATTTATGTGATACTGATCTACAATTGGCTCAACTATTACTCGCAGACCGATTCCCAAGAGATTTGGTTCATAGCTGTGGCCGTTGTGGTCATCCTTCAGATCCTGTGCTATCTGTTCAGCCATTGGTCCGTTCACTGCAAGAGTTTCCTCGCGTTCACCAAAGTATGTGTTGAAGTGATGATCGAGTGATGGGTTTTGTAATTATCATTGAATTGCTTCCCAAACCACGTCTTCATAGGCTTCGAGTCCGTTGTCGGCGCTGTTCGTCAAAGTGGTTCCGATGCCTAACAACGGGTCCCCGGAATTGGTTCGTCTCTATCGCACCAAATGTGAAGACAACTCGAAGGCCGAAGAGATGGTGTGGTTCTCCTTCCAGAAGACTAAATACGTGTACGACTTCTCCAGCAATAAGTTTACGGTTCTCTCGTTTCCCATAAATCTGTCGATCAATGAGTACAAGAACTGGAAGGGATATGCGGACGACGAGTCTGTGGCGGCCATTGAGCGCCGGTTCGGTGGCAACAGTCTGGAGATGGAGGTCCCGGAGTTCGTGGAGCTGTTCCGCGAGAGAGCGACCGCACCGTTCTTTGTGTTCCAACTGTTTTGCGTGGGTTTGTGGTGTTTGGATGAGTTCTGGTACTACAGTGTCTTCACGCTCGTGATGCTCGTGGCCTTCGAGTGTGTGTTAGTCCAGCAACAGCTCAGGAATCTGTCGGAAATCCGCAAAATGGGAAACAAACCGTACGCTCTTCAAGTGTACCGCAACCGCAAGTGGCGCTCCATTCAGACCAACCTTTTGGTGGCCGGAGATATCGTGTCGATCGGGCGCTCGCAGGACGAGAGCTTAGTTCCCTGCGATCTGCTGCTGTTGAGGGGCTCCTGTATTGTCGACGAGTCGATGCTTACGGGAGAGTCTGTGCCGCAGATGAAGGAACCCATCGAAGCCATCCAAGAGGACCGACAGTTCGACATCGACTCCGACGGTAGGCTTCATATGCTTTACGGCGGGACTAAAGTCTTGCAACACTCGGCGCCCGCGAAGACCGCCACTGGACTCAGAGGTATGTCATTCAGTGCCGTCTTTGTTGGCGAGCGTTGTACTAATCATGCGATTCACTCACAGCCGGAGACAACGGATGCGTGTGTTATGTCTTGAGGACCAGTTTCAACACATCTCAGGGGAAACTCTTGCGGACTATACTCTACGGCGTGAAGAGAGTGACGGCTAATAATTTGGAGACTTTTGGGTTCATTCTGTTTCTGTTGGTCTTCGCCATCGCAGCCGCCAGTTATGTGTGGATCAAAGGCACGGAAGACCCCAAACGGAACCGCTATAAACTGTTCCTCGAGTGCACTCTTATCCTCACGTCTGTCGTACCGCCGGAACTGCCCATTGAGTTGTCGTTAGCGGTCAACACATCACTCCTTTCTCTCTCCAAATTATGTGAGACTTGTGTTTGAGTTTTGCATTCATTATAATCACAAAACTCTTGTAATTATCTCTATTCCTGACTCCGATAGACATCTACTGCACGGAACCGTTTCGCATACCATTTGGTGGTAAAGTCGAGATCTGCTGTTTCGACAAAACCGGAACCCTTACGAGCAATAACTTAGTGGTCGAAGGGATCGCTGGACTCCAAGACCGGGACAAGATGTGTGCCATAAGTGAGGCGCCGTTAGATACGGTCCAAGTGTTGGCCACTTGTCATGCATTGGTTCAGTTAGAGGACGGACTCGTCGGCGACCCCTTAGAGAAGGCGACTCTCAGTGCCATTGAGTGGACACTCACTAAAGGAGACGCAGTGATCCCAAAGAAGGGTAAATCTCCGGGTCTTAAGATCTTCTATCGGTTCCACTTCTCGAGTGCACTCAAGAGGATGTCAGTCATCGCCGGTTATTCTCCGCCGGGAACTACTGACACGACTTACTTCTCTGCAGTCAAAGGCGCTCCAGAAGTCCTGAAACCTATGGTTTGTTTTTGTGTTTTATTAGAATTACCGGTAATTATCTTCTAATTCCCTGATCTCTGCCATCAGTTCTCAACGGTTCCGACCACTTATGACGAGACATACATCGAAATGTCTCGAAAGGGCGCCCGAGTTCTGGCTTTGGGCCGAAGAACTATCGGGAATCTCACTCATCAACAGGTATTGCGTTTTGTGTCCAAACATTAACTCATTTTCTGGTAATTTGAATGAAAAGGTTAGAGATTTGAGTCGAAGTGATATCGAGAAGAACTTGGAGTTCGTGGGATTCGTTGTCATCTCGTGTCCACTGAAACCCGACTCCAAAGCCGTTATGAAAGAGATTATCAATTCTTTACATCACGTGAGCACTGATTCTGTTGTCAATTATGATTGAAGCCATTGATTGTCTGATTGTATGTCCGGATCAGGTGGTGATGATCACAGGCGACGCACCGCTGACCGCCTGTCACGTGGCGAAGGAATTACACTTCATATCGAAGAAGAAAGAGACTCTCATTTTGACTGCAAATGACTCGCAAAGTGAGTGATAGATGTCTGACAAGTGCTTAAGACTTGAATTGATTTTGTGTTTCGTTTAATCCGAAGACGAGTTTCAGTGGATTTCTATTAACGAGAAGATAAGACTCGAATGTATTCCCAAAGACATGAAACAGTTCTTCAGTTTATACGAGTTGTGCATAACTGGAGACGCTTTGAATTATCTGATCGACAATGAGTTGAAGTTTTACCGCAAAGTCTTGCCTCACATTCGGGTCTTCGCTCGCGTGGCCCCCAAACAGAAGGTTAGAACTTCTGGAGGAACTCCTACTCTACTCTACTGTAGTGTTTGAATTGATTACCATTTTTGGTTGTATTTAGGAAACAATTATCACTTCATTAAGAGCTTTGGGTTTCACGACATTAATGACAGGTTTGTTGTAATAGTGTTTGCCTTTCATTTGATTACCCATTGATTGAGTGCTTTGTGCCTCCATTCAGGCGACGGCACCAATGATGTCGGCGCTCTAAAGCACGCACACGTCGGCGTCGCACTGCTGGCCAACGCACCCCTCCAGGCGTCAGACCTGCCGAAGCCTAAGAAGCCGTCGGCGGACACGTCTGTGGCGGCCAACCATGAGATGAGTTCCAATATTCCTCGCAATCGGATGCGCGGCCGAAGCGACCGGAGTTCCGGTGCGGCGAACGGCCCGCAGAATAGCCGTCCGAATCGGGCGACAGAAACGCAGCAACAGTTGCAACGAATGCTGGAAGAGATGGACGAACAGGAGAAGGCGTCGGTCGTCAAACTCGGCGACGCATCCATTGCCGCGCCCTTCACGTCGAAGCTATCGTCCATTCAATGCGGTTCGCCCTCTCTTTCGTTGACTACCAGTGCTCTCATGACTAACCAGTGTCTATGTGTTTGCCTTTTGGGGAACAGTATGTCATATCATCAAACAGGGCAGATGTACACTCGTCACGACACTCCAGATGTTTAAGATCCTGGCGCTCAACGCACTGATCCTCGCCTACAGTCAGTCTGTGCTCTATTTGGATGGCATTAAGTTCAGCGACGGACAGGCGACTCTTCAGGGCCTTCTCCTCGCCGGATGTTTCCTCTTTATATCGCGTTCGAGGGTTTGTTGCCTTCCTTTCACTGCATTCCATGCATTCACTGAGTGTCTGTCCCTTCGTCTCCATCCCTATCCCTATAGCCGTTGACAACGCTGTCGTCGCGCAGACCTCTGCCCAACATTTTCAACGTCTATACGATTCTCACGGTTTTACTCCAATTTGCGGTCCATTTCTGTTCGCTTCTGTATTTGGTTCGCGAGGCGAAGAGCCGGGCGCCGGACCCGAAGGAGGAGTTCCCCGACTTGGAGGCCGAGTTCAAGGCCTCGACCCTCAACTCAACCGTTTATATCATTTCCGTTTCACTTCAAGTCTCCACTTTTGCCGTCAATTATAAGGTTTGTCTCACTCTTCACCACTAAACCACTCATTGTCTCATTGTCTCGACACTGACCGCAACCATAGGGCCACCCGTTTATGGAGAGTTTGGCTGAGAATAAGCCCCTCCTCTGGAGTATTATCGGCTCCTTCTGTGCGGTCATCGCTCTTGTGACGGGACTTCTGCCCGATTTGTGCCATCAGTTCGCTATCGTTAGCTTCGATGCAGATGTGAGTCATTGACAGACAGTCTGTCCACTCGTTTGCCATTCATTACAAACCAATCACTCGTTTATGTCTTCAGTTCCAGAAAGTGATGCTAACAGTGCTGGCAATGGATCTGTTGTGCGCTCTGGCGGTGGACAGAGTGCTGGAGTTCCTCTTCGGAAGGGCTAAACTCAAGTCTCTATAACCCGCGGATTAGCCCTTAATTTAGTCGTAAATGAATACTATTTATGATATGACTTGCAATACATTTGTGTCTCATTTGACTCATTATTATAAATATATTTTTAGTTTTGATTATAAATTATAAATGAATACAAATAAAAACACTTTATATAAAGTATTTCATAAGTTATTTGTTTATTGAGTCAATTGTGCCGTAATTTCTATTCACGTGTGAATCACGTGGTGTTCACTCAAAACAAAACATTTAAATGTCAAAAATGAGTGAAACGTTGATTAAAATGAAAATCAAGATTAAAGATGAGATTAAGGATGAGATTATGAGTTATGATTGTATGGATTATCTGATTAGCGATGAACTCGAGTCGAAGTGTGAGATTAATGAGAGGTAAGTGTCTAATGAGCACTACTTGACACTCAGACA